CTATAAGAGTGATACTCTCCTCAATGCAAAACTGTCACAACCTGATCGCCTCTTGGCAGAGCATCCTGGAGTGTGCTGCTCCTTGCTTGTTCACGATACGTTGTAGTGGCATTGGCAGTAAATATGTGAACAACTAAGCCCCTGATATAGACCTGAAGGGCTCCAAGCACCAGCACGTTGATCTGCAGAGAGGCCTCCTTCTCCAACCACAGCCCTTGGTCTTTCCGCAATATCAGCTGTGCTCCGCAGCCCATCACTAAAGCATTACAGCGGCACAGCTGCGTCAGTGCAGCGTAGACATGCCCAAAGAAGAAAATGCTGATTGATGTGTTCCTATCCCCCTTTGTTGCCAAGAATGGCCACTTGACAGGCGAGTGCCAGTTTTGATGACAGCTGGCTAGAGCTGTCAGTTTGTGCTTTGTCTTTGAGAAACATATTGTAGTTATATATGGAAATTATGTTCATAACTCTTAATATGCATTTCATACATACATTACACAAGAATATTAATGATCAGTGTGGTAGTTTTTGAAGGATACATCACAAGGTGTACTTTGCACAAGCATTATTACAATAACGTGTAGCGTGTGAATACAGCAGCGCTTTCATATGAATCTAATTGGTTTTGGTAATGGGGAAAACAGGATTACAAAATAATGAGATTAAGACAAACCAGACCTGGAAATAAGCATTCAAGCTATTCAACACGCTATATAGGCTCATGGCTTCTTTCTGGTCCTTGCTGGATTCAGAACTATGGTGATGAATTACGAGAAGGTAAAATCAGTGAAACTGTCTACTTACTGTGTGTGGAACACCTACCACAATGGGATCTATCTCTGGGCTGCTGCAGTACAAAACTAAGATGCTGCTTTATTTTAAACTGCAATGAGTTTAATCTGCCTGGAAGACCTGGCATCTTCTAGCCCCACACCATTAGTCCCTCTTTCAGCTCTCCCTTTGATTTTTAACTGTTAAATGTGTACATTTGAATAATGATAGTAAAGTCTTACAAAATCAACATTTAAAAAGCTGAGACTAAGACAAATGCTTTATGGGTGCAACATGGAGTGAATAGAAGCATATACATATGCAGCCCACAAACAATGAACAGAAACTGGAATTTTTAAAAATGTAATTAAACAAACATTACTTCTACTCATTATGAAACTGACATGTTTGGTTCTTACAGTGATCTAATTTTTGATTACCTTCTGCTACACTTTATAAGCACAATTTTTATATGTTTAAGACTTTCCCTTTGGGGAGAAACAATATGGTCTCTCAATTTTATGTGATGGAAGCCTAGAGTGAATGCCCTTGTAGGCAACTACAGGTGCAGTTGCATTGAACTATGATCCGTACCAGTCCAGAAGCATCAAATACCTGACCAAAATATGTGTGTGAGTGTGTCCTTTTTGCTTCCCTCTCTACTGACAGCCAACATGAATCAGTGGGGGCAGCTTTGATTTTTGTAAAATCTTTGGGGGTGACCACTGCAGTCTAAAGAATTTTTTTTTAGTGAGTGAGACATAATTGTTGGTTGAAGTTCACTTCTTTAACCTCTCATATTGCCCATAGGGTGCGTGTGTGTGAAACTTATTGCCGGTTCTTTGTTTGGCTCATGACATCTGTATTAACTCTGGGGGGTTCATTATAACCTCATACAGCATAGCTGCTCACCTAAAGGAAATAAACAGTATAACACTCTACTAAGTTTGAGAAGTCCTGGCACTTCAGAGAGTGCAAGTACTTCCAGGCTGAATTCTGAGCGGAGCAGATGATGGATCTGAATATTTGCAGTATAGTTGGAGAGCAGTAAAGGGTGTGTTTTTTGCCCTCAGTTATTAATTAGCTATATATTATACTGCATTCTATTTAGTTTTACTACATTAACAAGCTTATCCAAAGCAACTCTACTGAAGACTATTTCAGCAGCTATTGTAAGGTGGGAGGGATAGCTCAGTGGTTTGGCATTAGCCTGCTAAACCCAGGGTTGTGAGTTCAGGGTTGAGGGGGCCACTTAGGGATCTGGGACAAAAATCAGTACTTGGTCCTGCTAGTGAAGGCAGGGGGCTGGACTTGATGACCTTTTGGGGTCCCTTCCAGTTCTATGAGATAGGTATATCTCCATGTGGATGTAGGCAGCTAGGCCCAAATGCTCAAAGATAGTAAGGCACCTAACTCCCATTGAAATCAATGGGCATTCAGTGCCTAAATACCTTTGAGGCTCTAGGACCTAGCAATTATGCTACTAGATGTTCCTCTGAGTGGTATGATATTGCAGTTGGATTGATTTAATAAAGCTGTCCTGATTTAGGTATATAACAACCTGCAGCAAGAATCTTTGCATCACCATTTATCAGTGAAATGAGCCTGTAACTTATACTGTTGATGGGTGGCCAAGATACACAGCCTCCTCAAGGAATTCATTAAAGGCTTCCATATGGGCTGTGTGTTTTGCGTGGGGAAGGGCATCTGCTTTGTATAATTCTGAATAAAAAAAATATGGAATTATTAATGACCTCCTTTGTTGTATGTATTTTTGAGCATTACTACATCATAAGTGTATTTTATCTGTGAATTTTTAGTTTCAGCTTCTATAGGAGGAAGTTGCCTACCCATACCGCTGGACTCCAATCATCTTATTTAAGGTAAAATACAGATTGATCTCTCCTTTCTACCAGGATTTTGGCAGGAGTGGGTTCTTTGGCATAGCCTTAATCTAAATTTGCCTTTTTAGGGGGCATTTGTTAGATATTTTCTATAGTACTGGGATTGATGAGGCTGCAGGACCATTAGTTTTGTAAAAGGTCTCCAGTTCATTGGTGAAATCCACAAAGGTGGTATTGGTCAGGAGCAAGATGTTAAGTTCCCAACCTTTGGCACACAGCCCACAGGGGCTGAGGGATGTGCTGGCCACCGCTTCCCGCAGCTCCCATTAGCCTGGAGTGGCGAACCCCGGCCAATGGGAGCCACGATCAGCCGAACCTGTGGACACGGCCCGTAAACAAACCAGCCTGGCCTGCCAGGGGGCTTACCCTGGCAGGATGTGTGCCAAAGGTTGCCGATCCCTGATGTAGACTGACTAGTCTGAAATATTTCACTAGCTAGCTGGAGAAGATTTGAGAGGAGTTAATAGCCACTATGAAAGTAGGCTATTGCTCCTTCTGAGATTTGTGCGCTACTTGTGTACTTGAGAGATAGAAAAGTTGTCTGCTTGAGAAGCCAAGCAGCTTTTTAAATCTGCAGTCTAACACTCGCGATTGGCTGAACCTGTGGATGCAGCAGGTAAACAAACCGGCCTGGCCCGCCTGAGGGCTTATCCTGGCAGGCCGTGTGCCAAAGGCTGCCGCTCCCATGTCTACATAAAAATCTAACAGCAAAGCTACTGCTTTGATTTAGATCAGGGTCGGCAACGTTCGGCACGCAGCTCGCTAGGGTAAGCACCCTGGCGGGCCGGGCCAGTTTATTTACCTGCTGACACGGGAGGTTCGGCTGATCGCAGCCCCCCCTCGCCGTGGTTTGCTGTCCTAGGCCAATTGGGGCGGCGGGAAGCGGCGGCCAGCACATCCCTCAGCCCCTGTGGGCTGTGTGCCAAAGGTTGGGAACTTAACATCTTGCTCCTGACCAATACCACCTTTGTGGATTTCACCAATGAACTGGAGACCTTTTACAAAACTAATGGTCCTGCAGCCTCATCAATCCCAGTACTATAGAAAATATCTAACAAATGCCCCCTAAAAAGGCAAATTTAGATTAAGGCTATGCCAAAGAA